TATATATATATATATATATATATAAGATTTATAAGTTTTCATCTAATCAGACAACTAACACATAATATGATTTTGTTGACATACAATAAAACAGCAGATGCAAACCATTATCAGTATTTTCTAATCGCTATAGCTTCGACACATTTTCCTTCTTCTCGGGATACTCTCTATGCATAACGTAAGAGAAGAGTGCCACACGAAACAAGTACAGTACACCAGTAACTGACATAACGAATCTCATCCAATCAATTAAACATAGGCTTTTTAGATGTCAACCAATTCAGCTTCAAGAAGCCATTGAAGAAAAAGAATTTCGTATCCTAAACACACAGACCACCAGTTACAAATTGTACAATCAAGTGGAGGGAGACGGAGGAATTACACAAAAAGCCCAAACACCCTCTATGATACACAAACCGACCGAGTCTCCCAAACAGATACACCTCGCTAATTTATATTTATATGAATAATAGGGGCGGATATGAAATGAAAAGAAACACGAGGACCAAAAAATAAATATGGAATAAAAACGGACTGAATAAAAAATTGACATAAAGAGAGGAGGACTCAACTAACCACCAACCAAACTAAAACCCACCCTCGCGTCGCGTCTAAAGAAGCACTCTTTGAAGTCACCACCCAAAACTGAGTTTTTGCTCTCTTTCGTCTTCGTCCCCAACGCTTCACGTGAGTATTGTTTCCACGCTCAATTCACACAAACACCACCTCTAATTCATCAACGGCGACGAATTTCTGATTTCCCGATCTCTCTTTGGTTATATCAATCAATTCATCCTTTGCGGATAAAAAAGGGACTTACATCAAAAACAGGAAATCGCGGCTCGGGGTTTCGGGCTCTATCTGGCTGTAAGGAAGAGTTGTTCGGGGAGCGGTATGCTCGCAGAGACCAAGAGTGTGAGTGTGTGTGCCGGTTTTATATCCAAGCAAGTGAGCCTCGGTCATTGGGGGATTGTGGGCGTCCTCTGGTCGGAGTTGGTGGTCGATTAGCATTCAGCTCCTATAACGTTAAAACAGTATCGGGAAATTATAAACTGAATTAGATTAGCCTAACAGCTTTCTAAAGGAGGACAAGACTGATTGAGCGATATGCTCTGATATACGAACCTGCATCCATGTGTCTTCTATGTGTCTTTCTGGTGAAGCCTCGGGGGATGACATCGCTGGAGGCAACGGATGAATCAGCTTAGGGACCACTACAAGATCTCTCCCCAACACCAAGATGGCCCCGGCATTGTTTGCAGTACCTGCGGTGTAAAAAGCAGTAAAAAGAGGATTTTAATCCGTCAAGTCGGGATATTGTATATTTTTTTAATAAAAAATGCTATGTAGACATACCACAGTAATTTGTAGCTGAAAAAAGCGTTATCAAATGCCCCTGGGCGAACCGTTCAAATCCATCCATAACACATTCGTGTGCACGTACAATCAACTGAAGGTCATTGTTGTTGCAGAACTCCATCACACGGTCAGGCTGCAATTGCCAAATTCTTTGTAAATAACGGAACTTACGACTAGTAATGATCATAGAAGCTTATGAAAACGAATTGGAATCTTTTCTTAGGTTTCAAACCAATTATATCCGTGACAAGGAAAAGTATCATCAAGAGCTTGAAACAAATATAAAAGAAAGAAACAGGTCATACGAGGCCGAATCAAATCAAGCATCAGGTGAAAGTTTGAAGTGCTCAAAGAAGGAAAAAAATAATCAAAAGTGCTAACCCCAAAAGTAACCAAACCAGGGCCCCTAGCATTGGGTCGCAGTCCTTCCACGCTGTCGTTTTCAGTTGGATCGGACCTAAAGAATTGCAAAAACAAAAAAGACACATCAAATAAAGTTGCACGATGGCGATGAAAGTAAAAAAGAATGGCTCATCAGTATACATGCACCTACCATAGCAAGTCCATAAGCACGATGGAACCCGCCTCCATTGTAATAGGACGCTGAATATTTTCTATCTGCTCCACATGATTTATTGACCGACCGATACCCCCATGCATACAGATAATTTTCTTCTCGATTAACGCAGCTAGAGGAAGCCAGTTGAATAATCGGTTGATTCGGTGCCACACCCAGATTCCATCTCTTTCACCCTGCACATCAACCATGGCATGAGGCCCTAAATGTGGAACCAGATTCCCACAAAAAAAAATATGCAGAAGGCACCGTACCATTCGCTCGATGCATTCTATTCGGAACCCAAAAAGGGCATTAATATCTGCGGCTTCATGGTTCCCACGAATTAAATGTACATTATGAGGATACTCAACCTGTAGTATTGAAAATACGACATCAATCCCTTTCCCATCAAGCAATTCATTTACCAAAAAAGAGACAAAACCAACAAAGACCACATAATACTCTTTGCACTACCTTTAGCGCAAGCAAAAGTGTGATTGTTTCTAGGCTGTGTTGACCCCTATCGACATAATCCCCTAGGAAGAGGTAATCGATGTATCTGATTGCAAGTCATAAAGAAATGTCAGAACAATGATAAAAAAAAATATAAGCAAAAATGCACACATAAGACAGTTAACATTTTAGCTGTACACTTACGATATGTCTCCAGCTGTTGATGGTGCACCATATTCATCAAAAAGGCGCATAAGATCCCCAAACTGTCCATGCAAATCACCAAATATCTTGATGGGAGCTCTCAACTGTAAAACAGTTGGCTCACTTGCAAAGATACGCTCAGCGCTATCACAAAGATCTGCTATTTCATTGCAATCCAAGAAAAATTGGCGTCGGACAGGTGGCTTCCAACCACGGGGCTTCAAAAGATGAGCTACAACCTAATGACAAAGAGTTAAATCATACATCATTAGAATTCGCCTCATAGACATGGCAAATAATACGTATGCATAGAGAGAGACAGGGAAAACCAACATAAATGGAAGCTACATTAGCACCTGACTCTCATTGCCTAGTGGAAACTATGCGCACTCAAGACATTGACCAGGAGGCAAAATCCAATAGAAACAAATGCCCTTTTACCAATAAATGCAAACTATGAAATCAAACCGAGGAGATAGCACAACTTTACTCCAATATTGGACTAAGTTTCTGATTTCTAGCACACCAAGCAGATGATTAATGTCACAGCAAGAACGTTTCCCTAAATTTCATGCAACCAACCATTTACCACAAAATTTCGCAAATGTATTGCTATTCCTAAAAATCCACATTTCAGGAATTGAATGTTTTTCGCAGCAGTTCATAGTTGAAACAAATTCTCTACCTTCTTTGGAACACTGTTGATGGACATCTGTCGATCTAATAGTTTCCTTGCTGCTGTTGCACTTTCGGGTGTCCCATAACTGACACGTCGTCCCTCATTTTCAAACTGATCGATTGATAACTGCCTAACCATTCCACCTAAAGCTCCACCTGTTTCTGCAGCAATCACCACCTAACAAGGTCCCACAAACGAAGGGAGGTTTCAGAACTGATTATCAGTAGTGGGAAATATTAGTAAATGACAAAACAGAAGGTTACAACGTATGTCGCAAACTTCGGGTTTTGTCCCACAAAATTTATCACTTACAGCTCTATGATGAAGCCGAACCCCAGCAGGAGGAACACTGTTTGAAGCCACAGAATCTGGCTTGATTAGTGTAGACGTGGGTTTCCCGCTAGGTGTAGCCTCAGCACCACGATCCCTATCTGGGAGTTCAACTTCACCATTAACCTGTCGTGCCTTGGCAGCAGCCAATGTAGCACTGATAGCCTCAGCTTCTGCCGCCGATGCTTCAACTAGATACTCCACACCCTTACTCGTTCTCCTAAAAATTCGTGGATCGAATAACTGATATCAATTAACACCGGTTTCACAACACTATAAATCAACAAAATGAGATTCAGGAAAAGTAGCTAACCGGGTTCCAGGAAGCATTGCATTTTCAGTGCTTATATCAGTATACATGTCACCATTTACAGGAGGTGCAACAGGGCTTCCAAGCACAACAGAACCATCAGGTGCTGTTTCAGATAACTGCCCTGAACTTTCATCAGTGAAACCATACCTCCCAGGTAATCTGCCAGCTGCCGTATTAGTTGCTGCTGCAGCTGCTGCAGCATGAGAGGCAGCAGATGTTGTTTCTGCTGCAGCAAGATCTTCAGCAACCAATAGGTCATCGAGTAACACCCCTGTAGCATCAACACTCTATTGCTAAGTCATGCAGCCATTTTGACAAAATGAACAGGCATGCAAGAGAAGCTAAAGGAGGGAAGAAAACTGGATAACTTTGGTGGAAAATCAACTCCAAAATTTATACAAAGTTTTCGCACATTGACAACACAATAGAAATATTATGCCACATTTACAGAATCTCTGTATAATTAAAAATTGTAAGACAGAACCATTCTTCATAGACAAGCATGACTCAGAAAGATGGAACCAAATATTATACCTCCACGTAAACCACCATAAATAAATATCAAATCACCGACTGCAGCAGCAGCATGCCTACAACGCCTGGTCAGTTCAACAGAAGCATCGCCACCAGCTGCATCAGCACTGTATCTGCCAGTTCTAGGACTAGTAACAACCGATTTTGTGTCACACCAAACACCTGCTGCGGTATCCAACACTGTACAAAGATGAAAAAAGAGCCAGTCAGAATTTTACATATTCATATATACAATTATGTATCCAAAATCCATTATGTAGCTTCCTTCAAATTTTTTAAATGATATATTTAAAAAACTACAGCAAAGTATGATTTCTATAATCCACTCAGAAAAACGATGAATCTTACAGCAAGGATGACTATAAACCCCAATCCTGAAAAGAAATACTATGCTTCAGTAACAATTTGAGGATGAATCATTTCTATAGTTACCTAGGGACATCAACACCATCTCAAATCACTGAAAATAACATATCCACTTTTCGAAACATAAGATATTTCAATTACAACCACCTACATATGGCTAGAAATTGTGATGTATAAACACAGATCTAAGTGTTTGTTCAACAAACATCTCCCAACAGACAATTTGAAATCTGCTCTTTCGTTGTTTTGGCTAACCTGCGACACTGGATGAGTCTTCTACCATGCGCCCACCACCAAGAGCCCCACCAGACACATGGAGTCTTGCATTTACAAAGACCTAAAATAATGGACCAAACAATTTGATTTTTCTGATGGATCGTAAGACATAAACTAAAAGAAGAAAAAGCACTGCATACTGCTGCATGCTGATATCTGGCTGACGGCGAGACACCAGGGGCGATGGCCCACTCCCAACGTCCATCTCTATGTTTGGCAAGTCCATATGCACTTGCCAGAGGCTACCATACCAAAGGCAAGGAAAAAACTAAGCAGTTTATTTCACGAAATAGGTGGTGAATCAATACTTTCAATCTTCACTTTCTACAAAATTAACTATGGAAAAATCCTAAGAAGTAAAAACAATGACTTTTCATCTCCAACCAAATTACTTGTGCCAAGCTGGTTATACAACATCGCAGTAGAAGCTATCGCGCTCGTTCGCATACAAGCTTCATGAAATCTCATACACAATTGATGTTTATAACTTCTCCATATTTATGTTAAAACACTTGCTATTTTTTATGTAACCTCGATACATGAGCTAGGGCTGGGCACAAATACCCGAAAATCGGGTATCCGTCGGATACTCGTCTCACGGATACCCGATTTTAGGGTACTCGTAATTTTCAAATCCGAATCCAAATCCTTATTTTTCAATACCCGTGAATCCGGATCCAAATCCGGATAATAGAATTTTTAAAACCGGATATCCGCGGGTACCCGCGTATTATAATTATAAATAATTATATCTTATATTTATATAACATTTTTATAAAATACAATTATTTTAGATGAAATAATTTCATATTTTTTTAATATTAATTCAAAAAAATTAAATTTATTATTATTTGTCTCTTATTATCTCTTTTGTCTTATATATTTTATCATAATTCATCAATTTTTATAAATATATCTTCATGTTTTAAAAATTTTATATATGAATATTGTTGTTTTTCTTAAATAAATCCGGATCCGGATATCCGCGAGTACCCGACTATTATTCCGGATACCCGTACCCCGGATACTCGTAAATACCAAATCCCGGATACAAATCTCATAGTTAAATACCCGAGCCTCCCGGATCCGAATCCAAATCTCTCGATTTTCCCGGGTATCCGACCCGTGCCCACCCCTAACATGAGCTACTCCCCTCAGCTATTTTAATGTAAAAATCAAGTTTGTTCGCTGTGCCATTGAGATATTTGTCGCCATGTGCAAAATAGAATATTACTTGACCTATTTCTGGATATTGAAACTTAAAACCTCTAAAGACTCTCTCTGCGCTAATGACCCCATGTCTTAATTCCTTATAAAGCCAAATAAAAAACCTTTCTCGAGACATGCACATACATATGCTCTTATGTCCTTTTCCAAACAGATTATAGAACAAGACTACAAAGTAAATCCCCAGCTTACCACACTGTTCGCATCCCTCCCGCCACAAAGGAGAAGAAGGCCATCAGAACGTGCACTAGCAGTGGCATACCTAGTTACAACATACAAACAGCAGAAATCGAAATTAAATTTTAGCACGTCACATTCACACAGAAAGCATAACATAAAATTTTTCAAAAAAGCAACATGCTTACATGCATGGAGGTGGACCTTCCCCTTCAGGTTCCAGCTTACGCCACTCATAAGGCTTTGCGGCAGTGTCCAAGGCCCATACATCAGCGAGTGGACGTTTCCCTGATAGTTTAAAGCCAAATTCAGAAACAAAATGCTTAGCAAGAAGCATATAATATAATGATATAAGCCAGCATCAGCATGTAAACCTGCTTACCATCATTTCCACCGATTGCCATGAGATACCTTTGTCCCACCAATGCCATGACATGGCCATAACGGGGCCCTGGACCAGGACCCTGAACAACCACCCTGCAGACAGAGAATGGTGCCTATATCAAAACACAATCCACCACCATGGAATTCAAAAATCAAGCTAGTCACAGGTAGAGGCTCAATTTCCTAACCTGTGCCATCGTGGCCGTTGTTGAGTGAGATCAAGAACGTGAAGATCCTCAGCCGACAAACCAGCAGGACCAATTCCACCCTGAGTCACATAGAGAATTAAGCAACAGTTGCATGGCAAACAGGAACACTTGCTGTTGGTAAATACATTCATTTATAATACTAGCACAGTTTATTCTTACCTGAATAACTACCATGGTCCCAACAGCAGTTGCAACATGCGCAGCTCTTGGGGTCGGTGGTTCTCCATAAGGTGTCAGCCTGCAGCATCATTTCATTACAGAAACTGGACTTTGCAATTTATAACTAAAATATCAAAGGTATTTGACACGACTTTTGTTTATCAGGATACAACTGAAAGGTTGTCAAAGACCCAAGCAGAAAATTAGTATCTTATGCTTACCTTGTCCACTTATTGGAGAGGACATCATAGCAATGAACATCTGCAGTTGCACCAGCAAGTCCTGCATAGCGAATGACATCCTGATTACTGAATACAACAGGAAGTCTAAAAGGGCTTTAGAAATAACAAGGGCTGAAACATAGAATGTATAACGCATTGATAAAATCTGTTATACAAGGTCCAGGAAAATGTTAGCCATTTCCCACAGCCAAGGGTACTTCACACTGTTATACCAACTTCATGAATCTAGCCATCTCGCACGGCAAAATTACTAAGCTACCGAAGGTTGACAACATTCATACCTCAAGATGTTGTAGCTTGATCGAAAATAAAAACATGGACAAAACGACGAGGAAGAAGAACACGAGCTAGCAATTAAGGCTTGACTTGTCCAGTTACTAGTCACACAGGTGACATCAGAACCAGCTCATATTGTAAAGGAGATAATACAAAGCACTGGGAGATTTTATGAGACACAAGCTTGGGCTAAAAGTAAATGTTGGAGCAAGATACTTTCAACTAGAATGAACAGAACTCCAGGAGAATTAGACAACAAACATTAAAAGTCTCCAAGCCAAGAAGTAAACGAGGCTTTGAGGCTAATAACGTTTTAGATAAGTGTAACAGTGCGACCTTCAAATCTTAGAGCTAAGCAAAAACATGATGCTTCCTAGATGAATATTTAATGATTGAATAAAAGAGAACAAAATATTGAACAAACAGAAACGTGAAAGCCCATCACCAGAAGGTATGATTGCTTAATTTCTATGTGAAAGTGAAACAGAATAAAGAAAATGAAACACAGAGAAAGGCAAAAACAACCAATAAGCTTGGGAAAAGAGAAGGCAAACGTACGAATGCCAGCACTTCCAGCTGAAGATGGCGTCCCGGTTCCCCCAGAATTACCCTCGAGAGCCGTCGCACCTCCGAACAAGATGAGACGAGGCCCAATGTAGCCAGGCGTCCCCTCCTCACCAACGGCAGGGACCGCCGTCAACGTGTGACCACATCTAGGTCCAGGCCCGTCCTCCTTCTTTTCTAATATAGCATTCACCACCGAATACGTCGGCGCACATCTAGGACCAGCCACCGCCGCCGGTTGCGATTCCGCATCCGCCGGTAGCTGTTGCGCCGGCGGACTCGTCGCCGAGTTAGGAGGCGACGACGCCGGAGAAGATCCACCTTCCGGCGGCACTTGCTCGCTCATCTGCTGCGGGGCCTCCCTCTCCATCGGCGATGGAGACTGTGCTCCGCTGTGGTTCTGATCCACCGGATCGTGATCGCTCTCCGGCACCATAGACGAATCGACATCCATTTTCCAACCTAAAGCTCGAAATTAAAACCTAACTGAGATAGATTCAGCTAGAATTCACACAAAACCGCATCTCTGATCAATCTTCGTCGAATCCACTTCCCGCCTCCCCAAAATCAAAACACCGAAGAAACAGAAACCCTAGCTTCTCCTCCTCCTCCTCTATCAGATCCTTGGAATTTGTCGCAACAGGACGAGGTATTCGATGACTTTCCGGGAAAAAATTTCGAAGCAGAGATTCAGAGAATTCGAAAAAGAAAATCGGTTTCCCTTTTTAGGTATCTGTTGTGTTTTTGTGTGTAAGGGAGTTTCTCTCTCCTCTCTATCGAACAAGACTAAATAACAACCCTCGACCGAAATGTGGGGAGAGAGAGGCCAGAAGGTCGAGCTCAAGGCTGAGCCAAAAAAAAATAACCCACCACTTTCTCTCTCTATATCTATACATATATCTATATATTCCTTTTAACACAGTTTAATCATAATTTATTATTATTATCGTTGTTGTTATTATATTGGAGAAATATTATAATCAAGGAAAAAAAATATATTTCAAAAATTATTTTTCATATATGTACAACAGATATGAAACAAAAATAACAGTTTTTGGTAGCAACAAAAAACTAAATTTTAGCCAATAAATAAAATGTAAATTAACATACAACCTCTATTTTTTTTTAATAAATATCGTTTTAGAGATTAGTTTTTGCCTCTAAATGGTTATCATTTCAGATTTTGTAAATGATTTTAAATAAAAATTTCCAATTTTATTCTTAATAAAAAAAATATAAAACTTTAATAGAGTATTAATCTAGTCACCTAGATATGATTTTTGACTTTTTTAAAAAATTTTAAAAACGGTGAAAAAACCTAAAACTACATTTATATTCAAACGGAGGGAGTATTTTTTATTTATCTAAACAAATCTATATTCTAACTTTTTTTATCAACAATGATTAAGTGATCTAAAATGATATGTACCACATAATATTTGTAGATACGTGATATATATATAAGATTCTAAAATTTTGTGATTCAAAATTCAATTATTAAATTAAGTTAATAAAAAAAATTATATTACATATTCAAGTGCCAAAGAAATGTATATCAAGATATGCAATATAAATATATATATATATATATATATATATATATATACTAATTTTAAAGGTTTGAATTTTATAAAAAAAACTATAATTTCACCCGCTTATGTTAATTTTAATAATATGTAAACACAATGATAATATTGATCATCATTTTAACCTTGTCCATGTAGTATAATCCATGTAAATTTCATTACTCATAGAAACCAAACCAAAACTTGGACCAAATCTAATTAACGACAATAAATAAAGTACACGAAAGTAACGGCAAATTATCATTAACTGAAATTTAGCTAAGCACTTCAGTGTTTTGACGGCCGACGTGAGGAAATGAACGAACAAAATTAACGGAATATGATTAGCTGTGTTTTATTGTTGTGTAACAGTTAACGGTGTAGTTAACTCCGTTTTCTCAGGAGGGGTGGTGTACGTGTTACCAAATGGGCTAAACGAAAAGTTCTCTCCCTCTCTGCTTAGCTGATGTTTAGACAGGGGTGACAAATATCGAACGTATCCCTCACGAGACCGGACATTAGCTTTGCGGTGAACAAGTTGTCGCAGTTCATGCATGCACCTACCGACCTCCATTGGATTGCAGTGAAACGTGTTCTTCGATATCTTTCTGGGACTCTAACCACGGGCATCTTTCTCTCGGCTGACAATACTCCTAAGCTTCACGCCTTTAGTGATGCGGATTGGGCTGGAGATCCTGGCGACTTCAAGTCCACTGGTGCCTTTGTTGTTTATCTCGGTAAACATCCCATATCGTGGTCCTCGAAGAAGCTTTCTGGGCACTCTCGTTCCTCCACCGAAGCCGAGTACCGATCTGTTGCTAACACATCGGCTGAACTTTGTTGGCTCGTGTCCTTGCTCTCCGAACTTGGTGTTTCCTCTCTCACCACTCCGACCATTTATTGTGACAATATAGGGGCTACCTATCTCAGTGCAAACCCGGTATTCCACTCGCGCATGAAGCACTTAGCGTTGGACTACTACTTTGTTCGAGGTCAAGTGGAGAATGGTGCATTACGTGTTCTACATGTGAGCTCTCGTGACCAGCTAGCGGACATTCTTACCAAGCCTTTACCCCGTAGCTCATTTCATGACCTTTGCGTCAAGCTCGGTATCACCTCCGGCGCTCCGACTTGAGGAGGCGTATTGAAGATATCACCGTATCTTCTTATATATCTTTTATATTAGGAACACTTCCTATATTCTAGGATACTCTAGTTATACATCTCTATCTCTTGTATCTATATATGCTAGTATCTTGTGATCATAATAAGACACGAAGGCAATTTCTCTTTCACTCGTATCCGATCCATATAAATATTCGATTTTATTATCTATATTCGAACCATAATTTTTGAATATTTATAATTTCGAATATCTATAATAATTACGAATATTTACGAATATCTGTAATACCAGAATCGAGTACTTGTGAAAAACAATTCCTTGAAAAATGACAAAATTTTTTACGAAAAAATTATCCGATGAATAATTTTAAACCGGTAAAAAAAACTGTAGATTCTTCTATACTCATCAGAGTAAAATTCTCCAACTCAGAATTTTGGAAATCTGTAAAAAATTTTAACAAACTCAAATGCCAAAGTTTAATAGAGAGAGGGGTGAGGGGACGGATGAACCGCGACCAAATGAAGTAGAAGAATGATAATACAATAATAACCTTAACATATTTTTGTTTTTTACAAAGTTGCTCCCAATATATAAAATAATTATCAAATTAACCAAATATTATTAATATTACTAAAAAATACGGATCAGATTGAATATGTCGAATACTTCTATTTGAATATCTGTATCCGACAAATATCTTGGAATCAATATCCGTATTCTATCCATAAATTGCGGATATCTGAATTTTCGATTCGGATACGAATCAACTAACAAATCGGTTCGGTTTTTTCGGATATTATGCTCACCCCTATGTTTAGGCAACTTCTGAACCATTTTGAATAGTAGAATTAAAGGCATAATTATAGCCGAATTAAATTCGACATAAAATCGAATAATTTTTTAAAAATCCAAAAAAATCGAATTCGAACCGAGTAAAATAATAATCGAAAAAAATAATTTTTTTGAAAAAATAAGTTTTTTACCAATAAAAAACCGAATCTAAACCGAAATAAAATCAAAGTGAACCGAACAAAATTTAATATCAAAACTGAAAAGTTATTGCATTTCTATAACTGAAATAACCAAATCCGAATATAATCAAACCGGATCCAAACCGAAACCCGAATGATCACCCATTGTTAACACATCCAAAAGGTTTTCATATGTTAAACAAAGGGAAAATAGGGTATTGCCACATGAATTTGTGTTGTAAAACAATTTTTGATTTGACAAAGATTTACGCAGATTTTTAATTCCTACGCCGATTTTTAATTTGCATTAATCAAAATCATGGTTTTAACGCTTAAATAGAAACTTGCATTTCGCTTGAAAATCTATAATCCATTAAACTTGTTTTGCTATTTTGTGTTGGTAGATATTGACATCAATTCCAATCTTATTGGAGTCACTGGTGAAGTTGTTTGATGCAAAGGCTGAGTGTTATGACCTCCTTAACTTGCATTTACAGGGACACATGATTATTTGGAAAGTGAATATGTAACAGAAATAACTCGAATGACATGTTCTATCAGTTTGTTCAGCATCGTATTTTACCAAATCTGATTAGGAAATTTCTCCAGAAGCTCATCTACAGATTGTAAGATGTAGTTTAGAATGTGAGTATGTTTTGGCATCCTCAAAATCAGTTATAGATGACAAAATGTGAGACCATGCATGGACATGGTGAGACTGGACATCACTGAGAACTACAGATGTCCATGACATCTGATGGGCATATCCTAAGATTGGCTGAAATGGATTTCATAAGATAAAATCAATGAAATTACCTGACAAAACTTCTCTTGGTTCCTCTTAGCCGTTGGCCTTGCTATAGCTAGCTTCCACATCCGACTGTTACTATGCTGGATTCTGACTCTAGATTGACGTTTAATGCCAGTTCCTCATTTCGGCGACAACGTCATAAAATCTCGGTATCCATTCTTCGATTCTACTCTGCCTGTTGTGAATGACCCAGATCTTTAATCACCTTACAATGATCCATCAGTCACCGAAACATCTGGGCGTTTGCAAATCTTCGGACGCTGGAAAGTATGTTGGACATAAGCACATATTCTCCTCCATAACCTCTCTCCAACTCCATTAATTTCTGGGTGACCCTCTCTCCCATCACAGCATCTCCATGAAAGCTACAAGCTCCCAGAAGTATTCTCCAGATTACGATATCGTCTTTATCTTTGTTCGGAATCTCCAGAGCGATCTTCTTCAGCTTCCTCTAACCTCCCACTTCTTCCTAACATGTCTACCAGACATCCATTGTGCTTCACATCCGGGTTGATCTGGTACTTGTTGAAAATCTCTAGCCCTTCTTCTGCTAAGCCCCCACGACTACAAGCGGTCAAGACACTCAGTAGTGTTATCCCATTGGGTTTCAATACGAATCTTTCCATTTCTTTGAATGTAAAGATCGCTTCTTTACCCATCCTGTGCATTGCAAAAGCAGATATGATCAATGTCCATTATACCAAATCCTTTCTTCCCTCTGGTATCTCACTGAAAAACTTGAACAAACTTTGTATGCACCTGCATTTTCCATATGCATCGATGAGATAGTTTGCCACACAGATGACAGACAGAGCAAACCCTCTATTCTCAACAAATCCATGAATCAATCTACACATCCTTATGCCTCCTAAACTCGAAGCAGCCGGCCAGTAATATGGCAAGAATGGATATCTCGTTGGGTTTTATCCTGTCGTAAGCAATCATTCTTGAAAACAAGTGTATAGCTTTCTCAGGCAGACATATTCATTCGCACATACCCATCAATCACAAATGCATATGCAGATTCCATATCAATCATGAGCAAGTGCATATGCAGATTCATCAAACTATACAACGGCTTTCTTCCTCATCTGAAAAATACTCCAGGATTCTCTATCGAAAAACCAGAAAACATAAATGTTTCAATTCAGAAGTTTAACAGGAACTAGTTTGAGGGTGTTGCCTGAATGACCCGGCATCCATATATGGACTGCGGTTATAAATCCAATCCTATTTGAAGGTACAGTCTCCATCTATACACTTGTGTAGTACCATGATTTCCATTCTGATCGCAAACACATGATTTCTAGGACTGATTGATTGTTATCTCCTTTAGTTTCCCTCTCCTCTGATGTGAATGATTTGCCCTGTCTGAAATGGATTTCATATGATAAAATCAATGAGATCACCTTGACAAAACTTCTCTTGGTTCGTCTTAGCCGTTGGCCTTGTTAAAACTTCCACATACAGTTGTTAACTATGCTAGATATTGACTCTAGATTGAGGTATAATCACCTTACTATTAAAAGGCCGCCATCTTAATTGAAACCATACGAATATTTGCACTGATTGTTCAACCTCATCTCAGTAGAAATCCCATGCCAAACCCGTAATCGGGAACGAAATTGAAAGACAGAGGAGTTCATCCATATGTGTCAGTATCTTTTCTGGCATGAGTCGCAGAAGACCAAGACATGACTGAGAGAGAGGAAAGAGAGTTAAAATACCCAGTTGTTGATATTCAAGCCTTCATCTCGAAGTAAAAATGGCAGAGGAGAGGAGAGGAAAACAGGGGACCCTCTACTTCAGCAATGGCGGATTTCCTCGCCAAGTAAAATCTCGAGTGGCGCTTGGTTTGATTCGCCGCCGCATTTCTTGCCGGTAAATCAGCGATAGGAGAAACCGCCACCGCCACCGTTGCCGCCGCAACGAGGAGCCGGCGCCATTGGAGAGTCGCTGTCGAGACGGCGAAAGGAGAAACAGAGGAAGAAGAAGAAGGTTTAGGGTTTAGGAGAAGCGGACACCGTGGCTCAGTTCCGATAACCGGCATATCCATCAGAACCGCGAGAGAGAGAGAGATTGAGTCAGCGGATGAATTTCCTTTTTGATAAAATGAAATTTAATAAAATAATGATTATTCAAAATTTGAATAAAATAAAATGAGTCTGGGTGAAGGGAAAAGGAAAATGAAATAAAAAATAGATATGAATTATTAATTAAATGATTGTTCGAAATTAATCTCTCAACGAAATGGAAACTTTGCAAATCCCTCAGTTATCAGAGATTGACTTCGTCGGCCATTTGGATTTCGATTTCCTTTTTTCATTTTTTTCACCCGTTGATAAAAAAAGATAAAATCATTGAAAAAAGGATTATTAAATGATTATTCAAAATTAATCTGTTAACGAAATGGAAACTGGGATCTGGGAAAGAAATGGAAAATTTCCTTTCCTCCTTCCTCGTGACTCCTATAAATACATCTGCTCGCTCACTCAGTCACTACTTGCCTACGCTTCGAAATACGACAGAACCCAGAGAGAAAAACGACACAAGTGAAGATGATCCGGGAGATTTGGAGGTATAACCAGGCGGAAGAGATGGCATTGATCGCCGACTGTTTATCCTCTTGTCCATTCATCGCGATCGATACGGAGTTTCCCGGCTGTCTCCGGAACACGCCCTTGACTTCTTCCGAGTGCGAACGATACTCCGACATGAAGTTCAACGTCGATCGCACCAAACTCATCCAGTTCGGATTCACCCTCTTCGATTCCGACTGCAGGATCGGCGGTACCTGGGAAGTCAACTTCTCTGGCTTCAGTGAAACCGAGGATGCGAGGAACGAGGACTCGATCTCTTTTCTGCGGAAGAACGGTCTCGATTTCGAACAGATCCGAGAGGACGGTGTTTGCGTTCACGGGTTCTTCCGCGAGTTCATTCGGATGATCAGATTTCAAGAGCAGCTGTTATGGATCACCTTCCACGGGTCTTACGACATGGCCTACCTCATCAAGATGATGACCCGATCGCCCCTACCCCGCACGTCAGAGGGATTCACAGACGTCGTGGGGAAGACGCTTGGCAGAGTGTACGACATGAAAGCCATGGCATCGAGGATCAGAGGGCTCAACCAGCGGTTCGGACTGGAGAAACTGGCGGACGAACTCGGAGTGAGCCGTCAAGGATCCGCACATCATGCAGGATCGGACAGCCTATTGACGGCCCAGGCTTTCGTTCGGATGGCTGCGAGGTGCAAAGACCTCTGCGAGTACGAAGGATTCATCTATGGGATGGGCTCTCGGGTCGTCTCGAAACGTCTTGTCCCGCAGCCCGAGTCGATGCCTTCACCGTACACGAGATGCTTCGACGATCCACCGACGATGGCATTCTCGCCTTACGGTGTCAATCTTGTCGGCTTTTCGACATTCATGTGATGCAGATGCAGTGCTATGATTCTGCTAGAAGAAAGTTTACTGTAATTGGAGATGAGATCATTATCATTTTAAGTACTTTTAGTTTTACACGAGTGATTGCTCTTGTTGCAATCGAAGATTCAGTGTTTTTATGTGGTTCTGTTCGTATATAAGATCATTTCCGTCTTGCTGGGTTTTAGTTCGGTTTAATGTCGGTATTACAACACTCTCTCAAGACACCCGATGCACGGCCCACTGTACGGATGCCCTATGTAAAATCTATAAGTGGAATAGCACGAATATAACCAACCGATTCACATATCATTAATACTATAAATAGAATACATTCATACCACATACATGTTCTTGGATGAACCAATCGAATCTATGAACCACACAACACAATCATTATCCTTTCCATGGTTTGGTTTCCTCGGGGCTGGACCTGCAACTGTGAGTCCAGAACACTATAATAAAAGTAGTAGTACCTTTGGACGGGCATATGAACTGCTTTCTGCGAGCTGCACGCACACCAACAGGCTGTGCAATGGTTTTCCTTTTGTGGGCCTTTCGGTTTAGAGGAGACCCGTCTCTGACGCTTTCACAGCAGATGCTCTCGTGGTGATGGGTCTAGCCTGAGCTCCAGATCCTCTGCCTGCTCAAATAGTGTTCACAGTTCAGACATTAACGGAAAACGCATGAAAACAAACGCAGAGGAAATCTTATAGATCGAACGTTATAACCATGGTATCGGTGAACAAAGTCTCTCGGGTGAGCATGATGCAACATCTATAACAATTCAAGTTCGATGGTGATGATTGATCAATGTCCTTGATTCTCGCCCATATCGGGTTTGCGGGTCATATGAAATTTCAATCTAGTCGTTTGAGCCACGAATAAACCATGCTTATGACATGGGCTTGGCCCTTCATCATGCCTTGGCTTAAGATGGTAAGTTTTGTCTAATAATCCAAGGTGATAAGAATCCAACTTCCTTTCTGTTAACTAGAAATTAGAGCCATAATTAGAAAGAAGCAAGGGTTCCCAGGGAGGAGAGAGGTCTGACCGCTGTTCGGTAGAGATAACCGCTTCTTTGAAGATTTATCCGACCCTCTTGATCTTTCTTTTGGGTTGCTTTGCGATCTTGAACCAACAACGGGTCTTGAGTCAACTTCTACCGCAACATCCTCTTTAGCAGGCTTTGACCTAGTCTTTGATCCCACTGGTGTGCTTGTAGATATTCCAGGAGAAGAAGCATTACCATCCGATTGAGATGGACCGGTCTTCTGACTAGATGAAATACTGGATTGTAGATTTGAAGCGGTTGGTTTCTTGCTTGCAGTTTTCATTTGTGCTTTAGGCACATTGTCAGAATCCACCGAATTGTGTTCATGTAATTTCACTCCATCTCTGAGATTAATGTCAAGAAATCGGTTCTCCCATGGACGAACAGCCATCCATCTCTCCAACCAGTTCCAACCCCAGTTGCTTTTGTCGGGTTCGAAGCCAGTCAGTGCAGATTGCTGCCTCGATCCTGCCTGCCACTGCAATAAGGTAAACCTATATATATATCAGAAGTAGCCATCAACTGCCACAACAACAACACCATTAGACACAAACAAAGAGGCAGCTAGAGATAGAGACATGTGGCAAGGATTAGAAAAAAAAAGTTTTTTTCTCTGGAAAGAAAATGTCTGAGTTTGATCCAAAAGGAAAACTTTCTCTCCGTTAACACTAGCCCACGATGGAGAACATTAGGCAAAACATTACAACTAACTGAAGTGTAGACAACTTCACTTTCATACGCACATAGTGTTTGGGTTTAATATAGGTATCACAGAGAATCCATGATACCAAAATTTGGATCCACAATGGCTTCCACTCCGTCGAAAAAGTGAAACTTATCGAAACCACCCTTTCCTATGGTCCATCGACCAAAAACTAGAATAACATTTTCAGATCCATTATTACTTTCTCAACCTATCCACTACGTACTGCTAGATAATAGCTGCAACTTCACCTGGTGAGCCAGAGCATATGCCATAGCCCTTTCACGCTTAGCTGCAGCCTCCTGCCTCTTTAGCAACTTGGCTTGGATTTGTTCAACAGAGCCAATGCTATCGCACCAACCCCCCTGAGGCATGAGGGGATAATTGTCATGAACATAAGATAAAGAAGAAGCACAAGGCAAATTAAATGTATGTTTGTGGATAATAAAAAAAAGTCAGCTCACCTCTATTTCTCGAACTCGGGCTTCATTTGCTAGCTGTTGCTGCAGATTCTGGTGAGTTGTTTGACTTTCCAAGGCCAGACGAACTCGTCTTGCACGTACACGGGCCTGGACTCTTACTAAAGCTTGCATGCACCGAAGTGTTATCGCAGCTTGTTTTCTCACTGCGTGCCCTCTGACAAGGGCTTGAAGTCTAACCAATCCCTTCAAAGCCCGTAGAGCCCTTCTGGCCTGATACGTTCATCATCATGAGTTTTCCAGTCTCGTGAAAACAACTGAGTTGAAGGGATTAAGAGAAATATTACAAAATGAAAACACACAGATTATATCAAGTTGAAACCAAGCAGGTTTTGATCTGTAGTTTGCTGGGTTTTCTGGTGTTGTATGCTGTCAAAAGCCTCCAACTTTCTTGACAAGTTAAAGACATTGTCTTAGTTAGAAACACTGATCTGGTACACTCTAAAAACTTTTGCATAGAACCTCCTTCAAAATTTGAGGTCCTCCGACAGAAATGTGAGGAAAGAGCAGCTTTGCTCTAGCTATTTGAAGGCAACATTTAAAATTAACACTGAATCATATCCAAATTATACTTGAATCTCGATAGTTCATCAGTGCTTTTACCAAGATGTTTCTAGCGCCGCCTATACAAGTGTAAACTACATGTAAGTTTGAATTAGATATGTATATAAACACGCCAGAGAGGAAATCTAACAGAGAAACAAGGAGTACTGATACCAAAAATCCCCGAAAGGCTGTCTGGATGCGTGTTGCAGCCCACTCTTCTCTTATTCGTTCTTGATAAGCTGCATCCTGTACTTCAAGTGAAGTTGAAGGAGAGACCCCAGAATCTTTCATACTATGCATATTGGAAAATCCAGCAGATGAAGCAATGTTCTCTTCAAATCCATCTTGGAGTTTGCCAGACTCAGTTTCAACCAAATGTTTTCTCCCGTGCTGGCTCTTAACCTCCAACTATAACAATTGAACAAACACATCATACATCATAGCATGAAGCCTCATATGTCTTTGACCAGAAATGTGGAAAAAATCAACATACTCTCCGGAAATTTCACCGCATAAGATACGTACATTTTCTTTCTTCTGTGAAGACCTTGACTTATCATGTTTCCTGAAACTGACGAATGCTTTAATCCACTTTCCAGAGGCACCCATTGCATCAATCTCAAAGATCAAAACGACACCAACCTGCAGAATGTCATAAGCAACCTCTGGCGAGTCAGCTAAACTAACAACAAACTTTGAAAAAGTGGAAAACCCCAAACATCGAGAGATAAAGTCATCGACTTTTTCGTAGCCTCGCAAAACCAGATTCTCATTAATGCAGGGCACATTTTGATTAGATGTTAACAAGCATGCATTTGCAATAAATCTAAGAAGAAGTAAACATATACCCAACAACCAAAATCGAAAATTCCGCAGTTCTTGCATCTCTATACTTCCTTTCAAGTCCCTAATCCTATCAAGAATACTCCAACGTCCTTAAGAACAATGGAATGAAGTTGAAGACTTGCTTGAGCAAACTACTTCCAGAGAAGCGATCTTTCTCAATGTCGCCATAGAATGACGAGAAGACCTGGACCAACACCTCAATATACACATTTTTTCCCACAAAACTGTGAATCAGTATCTACTAACTCTTAGTTTTGCTGGTTAAGTGCAAATCGTGGTATTGGATGAGAATTGGTGCATTGAGATAATCAAACATCCCAAAATTCAAACGGAAAAGGAACATTCGCTCAACCCACTCAATTCAACACCCCACAATTCAAAGAGTGCCAGAGGAAAAATCCCAATTCGATGACAGATAGGAACACTAGATCAGCTTAAAAGGAAACATCACATTCACCTGATGAAATCGGAACGCCTCGGCGATAAGAAGAATCGAACCGCCCGTCGATCTCACGGTCAAGTCGACGAAGTCAGACCCTCACTTCACTTACCGACTCTCTCTCTCCAATCACTTCCCTTTCCTCTCTCCCCGAAAGTCACGCTTCGCTCTCTACGATTCCCATGGAGTCGCTGACTGATTGATTGTTATCTCCTTTAGTTTCCCTCTCCTCAGATATGAATGATTTGCCGATAAAGCGCACGCGCCCACGCATGTCACCAAAATGCTAACATGCGCCAGGGTGTGAAGTTGCGCCTTGGGAGTTATAAAACGGTAAAGCAGTTTCCTTCTGACGGTTTCGGTTTTATATAAACCGGTTGGTTTCCAATGTTAGAAAACTGTTGCAGGTCCGGTTTGGAATGAACCGGAACAAAGTTGTACGGACCAAACCAAAACGTTTTGTGACCTTATCAAACCGTACCATTTGAAATCGGAGTTAGCTACACCGGCTCATTAGAAATTCTAAGTAAAACTAATTGTTAAAGATACAAAATCATGTTTATAAAAAATATACAAAATCTATTAAATTGAACAGATTTATTTCTTGGGTCGAATCAAATTATATTGCGTAGGGGAATTTTTCTATACGAATTTAGTAAAATGTGATCTTTTTATATATGTATTTTTAATTTGACAAAAAACTATATTTGAATTCAAAATTTTTCAAATATCTACACGAATTGTTAAAGTTAACAGTAATTACATACATAATCATCATTTTCGTTAAAATTTTTTAGATTCTGTTAACTAATGTATTAGTTAGGTAATTATTATAACATTATACACGTTAGTGTATTAGTTAACAGAATTCAAAATATTTTAACGAAAATGATGATTATGTATGGAATTACTGTTAATTTTAACAATTCGTGTAGATATTTAGAAAATTTTGAATTCAAGAATAGTTTTTTGTAGGGATGTCAATTAAGTCCGGAGCCCGGAATTCGGTCTGAACCCGCCTGAAAATAATAAGGATTTGGGTCTAAAAATATCGGCCCATTAAACTTCGGGCTTTCGGACTTCGGGTTAAATGAGACATGAGTCTATCGGGTCGGGTCTGTCGGGTCTCAAGTTGGGCTTGAGGCCCGTAGATGTTTTTTTTCTAACCAAAGCTTTGACTAGATATAATATTAAACCTAACCTTTTTGTTACTAACGCTAAACCCTTTTGTTTTTTTCGGCAGAATCACCACTTTCATTTTTGGCATCGGTTCTGCTTTTGACATCTCTTCAAATAAAGTTGTTGTCTCTCCATCGGATCTCCGACGATCGCCGCTGATGGATTGTCCGGTACGCGTTTTTCATTGCATGGGTTTTAAATTTGTTTTCTTTTGCGAGCACCGTAAAAGTGGTGACGAACTGTAGAAGTCAAAAGTTATATATATATATATATATATATATATAATCATAGACATGTGTATAGCTTTGTCTTTGGCGTTGAAGTTGTTATAAATTAATCAAGAGTGTATGCGTTTGTTTTTCTGATTTTTCATTTTTAGAAAAAAAATAAAACTGACGGAAAATAAAATAATTGAACGCAAGGATTTAGTGAGTAGGAGAGAGAGAAAATTTGATTTTCAACTAATGCCTTAATGTTGAGCCCACACTTCTTATTTATAATGATAATTAAAACAAACTAAAACTAAAAATCTGGAAGATCATGTGTAACCCTAGATCTTTTAGGATTTATTCAAACTAAAATAGAACAATCACCTCTTTAATCACCTCTTTAATCTTGTTTCTATGTCTTCACCTACATCAAAGTGGCCTCCTCTTCAATCTCTTCGACCATATGAGTTGCGTCATCTCTCTCTTCTCTTGTTTTGCAATCAGAGGCGAAATGACTATATTTATTATATGCATAGCACATGATCTTGTTTATATCAAACCTTGGTTTCTCACCTCCTTGACCGCGACCTCATCCAAACGAACGACCTCTACCACGACCTCTTCTCCATTCACCTTGTGCGAGGAGAACGTGTTCATCAACTCTCGATTCACGACCCCTTAACCGCTCCTCGTGTGCCTTAAGTGATCCGGTAATTTCTTCGATCGACTTAGTCTTCAAGTCTCCAAACTCTAGATAAAGCCAATTGGATGTACTTCGTGGAAACTGATCTGAGCATTTTTTTAACGACGTATACTTTGTTAACGCTTTCTCCGAAAGCTTTTAATTTATTCACTATCGTCGATACTCTTCCGGTAAACTCATCCACCAACTCACTCTCTTCCATTTTGAGTCTTTCGAGCTCCCATCATAGCGACTGTGCTTTGACCTCCTTTACTTTAGTCTCACCATGATTCAACATCTTTAAGGCATCTCATGCTTCTTTTGTCGTTCTTCTTACTCATATCTGTAATAGGGTCTCCTCACTTATGCGCTGACAGATTGTTGCAAGAGTCATCTTATCTTTGCTCTTATCAATAGATCCCTCTAACTCGATCGCATCCCAAACACCTTGTGTCTGCATATAAATTTTCATTTTCATAGCCCATACCGTGTAATTTGTCTTTGTCAGGAGTGGGTATTGAAGAGACGTGTTTCTTTCCTTTATCTTCGTTGTCTTAACATCTTCATTTTGAATACCTCTGCCACTTCGATCGATACTTCGAATGACACTCCCGGACAACTCTTCCATAGATATAGATTTCGACATGGACTATGAAAAGAAAAAACAAAACCAGGCTCTGATACCACTGTTATAAATTAATCAAGAGTGTATGCGTTTGTTTTTCTGATTTTTTCATTTTTTAAAAAAAAATAAAATTGATGAAAAATAAAATAATTGAACGAGAGGATTTAGTGGGTAGGAGAGAGAAATGAGATTTGATTTTCAAATGATATCTTTATGTTGAGCCCACACTTCTTATTTATAATGAATATAATAAAAACAAACCAAAACTAAAAATCTAGAAGATCATGCGTAACCCTAGATCTTTTAGGACTTATTCAAACTAAAATAAAACAATCACAAATGACCAAATCAAAAACCCACACGTGAGAAACATGATTAACTCCAACAGAAGTCATATATCTATAATCATAGATATGTGTATAGTATATTTTAATATCATATGAAAGCATACAAAGTCCTTTTTTTTAATAATAAAGATATGTATTTATGTTATTTGTTGAAAGATTATCGGACGTATCAATATTTGTAACTTAAAATGCATATCTACGGGTGTACACATGTCTTGGATGAGAGATTAAACATGGATTAGTACATTAGTATTTATTTTTTACATCTAATTATGTTTAATTAGTAGGATATATAATATAAATAGATTATATAACACGATGGGTGTTTATGTATATGTTTGGCAACTAAACTCTTAAAGAAAATAATATTTGATATATACATGTGACGAGTTTTTATCAGGTTTAAATTTTTTTAATCGCAATGGATGTCGACGCGATTGAGTATGAACACCAAGAATTAGAGTGTGAACTCAATGTTGGATTATCTCAACCTGAAGAAATCAGAAATCAAGTAAGTGGTAGAAAGCGGAAAAAGACTTCTAGTGTTTGGAATCATATAACTCGGGTTGATAGTGAAAATGTCACTTGCAACTATTGTGGTAATAATTATACGGCTTCTCCATCTCTCGGGATATCGCATTTATTACGGCATCTTAAGCGTTGCACGAAAAAGCCTAAGTTTGAAAATGTAGTCAATATGTTGATTGACCATGAGGGGAAGCTGAAGGCAAAGAAGATAGATCAGAAAATTTGGAGGAAAAAGTTTGCTAAACTGATCATATGCCATGAATTGTCGTTTGCTTTTGTTGAGTATGCATCGTTCAAAGAGTTGATATTATATGCAAACCCAGATATCAAAATGATATGCAGAAACACTGCTTCTAGTGATGTTGTAAAGCTTTATGTGGATGAGAAAGACAAGTTGAAGCTTCGATTAGCTAATATTCATAGTAGGATATGTTTAACTTCTGATCTTTAGACGTCTATCACAAATGAGGGGTATATTTGTGTGACTGCACATTATGTTGATGAGAATTGGAAATTGAATAGTAAGATACTGTCGTTTTGTACATTCCTCCCTCCCCCTCTCCTGCATATAAGAACAGAAATATCTAAGAAGATTTTTGGTTGTTTGAAAGATTGGGGAATAGAGAATAATATTTTTTCTCTCACGTTGGATAATGCTTCAACCAACGATAGTATGCAAGACATCTTGAAACACCAACTTTCTTTGCAAAATAGTTTATTGTGCGAAGGTGAATTCTTCCACATCAGATGTTGTGCACATATCTTGAATATCATAGTGTAAGCTGGTTTAAAGGTGATTAGTGATGCTCTAGACAAGGTTAGAGAAAGTGTGAAATATGTTAGAGCGTCAGAGGCAAGGATGAAAGTGTTTGATGAATGTGTGGAGCAAGTTGGTGGAAATATTAGAGCTTCTTTGTGTATAGATGTGACAACTATTGAAAAATAAAATGCGGAAATTAAATTTGAAAGAAAGAACAAAAAATAAAAGAACGGAAACACTTTTATTGTTACATATCTTCTTCTTGTTACATTACAATAAAAATAATCTATACATTTATAGGAAAAGTTATTGAAAGAAACAAGAAAATAAATATACGAAAGAAACAAATAAGATAAAATATAATTGACACAATATATATTTTATTCTTAATTGATATAATGCCTTTAATTATTATCAATCATATCAAATCTCCATATTTTGTTTCTATTTCAACATTCCCCTCAAGATTGATTTTGAAAGAATTCAAAAATCAACCTTGAAGATAAAACAAAATGATGAAAAACTTCATTGTTATTAGAACAATCCATAGACACCAAATTTCATTCATTTAGAGAATACTAACCTTTTTCAAATCACTTCGTTTGACTTTAAAGTTTTAGTTTTAACTCTTTTTGTTATAGCATCTTGCTTGATCTTAGAGTTTTTAGCTTTGACTTCTTTTTGTCATAGCATATCGTTTGAATCTGGTTTTTTACTCCCCTTTGAACGATTTGGATATATGAACATCCAAAACGCAAAAGAAAGAAGAGATTAGAAAATTAGAAAAAAGAGAAACATATAGTTCAGATCGCAACGCTGCTCTGATACCATATTGAAAAATAAAATGCGAAAATTAAATTAGAAAGAAAGAACAAAAGATAAAAGAACAGAAACACTTTTATTGCTACATCTCTTCTTCTTGTTACATTACAATAAAAATAATCCATACATTTATAGGAAAAGTTATTGAAAGAAACAAGGAAATAAAGATACAAAAGAAACAAATAAGGCAAAATATAATTGACACGATATATATTTTATTCTTAATTGATATAATGTCTTTAATTATTATCAATCATATCAAATCTCCATATTTTGTTTCTATTTCAACAACAACACGTTGGAATTATACTCATATGATGTTTGTAAGTGCTCTCAATCATCGATATGCTTTTAGTAATCTTGCTTTGATTGATAGAAATTACAAATTCTGTCCAACAAATGAAGATTGGATCAGGGAAGAAAAAATACATGACTTCTTGATGTCGTTTGATGATATTACAACGATGATATCTGATTCAAAGTATCCGACTTCTAACTTGTATTTTATGAAAGTTTGGAAGATTGAACTACTTTTGAAAGAGTATGTATGAGGTGAAGACGATCTTCTTAAAAGCATGGCTGAAAGAACGAAAGTGAAATTCGATGAAGATTGGGAATAATATAGTATCATTCTTGCCATAGGAATCGTGCTTGATCCGAGGATAAAATTGGAAGCATTGAAATTCTTTTATGATCAACTTGACGAGGAAAGTAGTCAATCAAAGGTGGATAAAGTGAAGAATAAGATGTATTTAATCTTTGAATAATACAAAAAAAAGATTTGGGATATCGACTTCTAAGAGTTATCTATTTCACAAGATAATAGTTTAAATTAGGAGGATAAACAAGGTTCCACTCAATTTGATGTAAGTTATCTTTTTTTTTTTTAAATTCGAGTTTCTTATTTTGCTATTGGATTTTTTCTATTGTAATGTTTTCAATTTTTTTATATGATTTAGGAACTAAGTGGATGGAAAAAAGCTTCTTTAGACGATGGATTAAAAATGGATTTGGATAAATATCTAAAGGATCCTACTATAGATTTACATCGATATAAAAATATGGATATTTTGGAGTTTTGGAAGATCAATGAAGCACAATATGGTACTGCATTGGCTTTTATGGCATCTGACATTCTCAGTATTCCTATCACTACCGTTGCTTCAAAGTCGTCTTTTAGCGCTGGTTCTCGTGTTTTAAACAAATATAGAAGTCGTCTTTTACCTACAAATGTCCAAGCTCTTCTTTGCACTCGTTCTTGGTTATTTGGTTTCGAAGAATACGGTAAAGTCTATATTTTTTATTATCCATTTTGGTTAGTTGTTTATATGTCTAAGTGTAACTATTTAACTTATATTTGTTTCTTTAATTGTCGTATTGTGTAGATTCTAGAAGTGGTATTGACGGTACTCTATCAACTTCATTGTCACCTATAGTCATCTTGTCGGAGAATTGATCAATTGACTAAAATTTTTAGCTTTATTTTTTTTTCTTAACTAACTATTTTGTTATTATTGATTTTAAAAATATTTCTGAACTAAATACTTTATTGTTATACGTTTTAAAATATTTTTGTTGAATGTTTCCCATTGTTGATTATTATTATCATCATCACAAAAAAATATTTTTATTTAATAAAAAAGTCCGAAACCTGGCCCGAACCCGTCCGAAACTCTGTAGGGTCGGACTCCGGACCACCAATCATAGATCCGAAAAATAAATAGGTGGGATACCCGACCCGAAAAATCTAGACTCGAATCGAACCCGATCTGGCCATTTTACACCTCTAGTTTTTTGTCAAATTAAAAATACGAGTATAAAAATATCATATTTTGCTAAATTCGTTTAGAAAAATATCATTTTTTTATTGTGTAGTATAAACCAGTATTACGATTGTATGTATGGCTTGAATTTCATTTCACTTGGATTCTATTGTGTAGAATTTAAAAAAATCCAAAAAAAAAAAAGTGATAACTGATGCCGAAATTCGTTATTCGGTTAAGGGAAACCAATAAGCAAACCGGATTGGTATTGATACCTAAACACTGCTACGGGATCTTTTTGTCTTCCGGCGCATGTTAGCACTCGATCCTCTTCACGTGAAGAGTAGGATTAAAGAGAATTTAATTATTAATTCGCCTGAAAAAAGAGATTATTTAATTGTTTTCTCCTTTTTCCTGAACAAAATGACAGAAAGGTTGGCCGCCAAAAATAGGCAAACAAATAAGACCAAGAAAATGACATCTAACATGTATTTATTTATTTATTTGTTAGAAAACAAATCCTTAAGACGTGAACATAGTTTTTTGTTAATTTTATTATAGACGTAGAAATTCTATTTAGATGCGTTCCTCGTTGGAGAAGAAACGTCGTTAATGCTGTGAGAACTTCTTGAATATTGGAGAGCAAATTCTCTATTCATCTTCTTCTTCTTCTTCTTCTTCATCTTGATTTAAAAAAAAAAAAGAGAAAATTTGTGATAATGCAATGCAAAAAATCGGTAATGGACTTCAATAATAACAATAATTATTAAAAAAAAAACATAACCTATATCATAACTCATGAAATATTATATACACACACATTAACACTTAATTTTTGAAATAGTTCACGGTTGTCGTTAAAATTAAATGGATGATTCTTATAAAAAAAAATTAATGGATGAGGAAATTGAATATAGTGTGTTTTTTTAATCACCTTTATTGATTTGGGCCACTTTCCCAACAAAAGCAAAATCGTAGCCTGCTGTTATTACACTTTCTCTTAGGTAACCAGGATACTTCGGTATTCTATTCTATTTGGGTTCATATCGGGAAGTAATCCAATTTTTTCGGTTTTATAAAAATAGATACCAATCTATTATTATATTATATTCTATTCGGTTTCAGTTTGATTTGGTTCAATTTCGGTTTTTATTAAAATAATATATCTTTTAAAAAAATCAGTTTTTCGGATTTTAAAAAAAAATCGATTCCATTCGGTTCGGTTTTAGAATTTTTCGAAAATTAATATCGTTCGGAAATTTTAAAACTTTTTAGATCGGAAAAAATATTGCATTTTGTCGGCTTAGTACGTAACCCTAACCAATTTTGTCGAAATTTCTATACAAAAACATAATTTTGAGATTTGCAAAAACGAAAACTTTGTTAAAAACGTGTTAGAAAAATGTTATTAATTTCTTAAAACCAATTTGTGGTGAATGAGAAATTAATTCTAAAATGTGGTTATACAAAATAAATATAAAAATGTGGAGGAAAAACATTTGTCCCACATTGGAAAAATGACAAGCACAAGGAAGGAAGCTTCCTTATATTTATGTTTGTCCCACATCTAAAGTTTTGGCCAAGAGGAAGGAAGGAGCTTCCTTATAAAAAGAGCCCCCCTTGAGTCAATATTGTTCAAGCTCAAGGTTGACTAAAGCTAAACATGCTTGGTCCCACTTCTTCCTCTTGGGAGAAAAACGAGCAAAGTTCCCCGAGCGGAACGTTTAAACTTTGGATTGAAAGTTCCACTCGGGACTATTTGATTCAGAGAAAAACGTTTCGATGTGGGATTTAAAATTTAAAGTTGCGCGTCGATGTGGGACGGTTGGGCTCCGAACCAATGCGTTCTTGACGAAACGTTTCCTTTTGGAACGATTCGGCTAGAACCGCTGGTTGAAAGGGTGGAACCTCTTCCTTCACATGTTTTCGTAGCAACCCCCGAATATTATAAATAGGGCGCCCATAGGATCATTTTCTGCATCCCATTTTTTCTGAGTGCATTCTTCTTTTAGAAAGAAATACTCTCAAACCTTTTCTCTAAAGAGTTCTGAACTTTTGTAGTTCGTTGGATTCTCTAAAGCAGGTGGTGCTTTTGTAGAATCGTAA